GGAGGAGAAGGGATTGTGGCGTGGCCATCCCCCCTGGGGGGTGATTTCTCGCTTTCTGTCTCTCTGTCTCTCTCTGTCTTTCTGGTGAGCACACATGCCCTATAGCAAAAACTTCTCAAAAAAAAGGATTTTTGCTATAGGGCACGTGTGCATGCCAGAGACACAGAGAGAAAGAAAGAGAAAATGAGAAATCACCCTCCTCGTGGGATGGCCACACTGCAGTCCCTTCTGCATTGTCTCTCAGGACTCTGGGCATGCATGCACTCACGCCCAGCATGAGTTCCAAGTTGCCAGGTCTGGGACTCAATCAGTAGTTGACTCTGTGAGAGTCCAGTATCCCAACTTCTATGCCCCCTGCTAGTCCTGAGCTTTCAAGCCTGCAGGATTGGAATTTGAACCACGGTTGACCATGTGAGATCTGACTTCTCTTATCACTAGGCTATGGAGCTAGCCCAAGAGATGTTATTTTAGAAGGCAACCTATCACAGGACTTCTCAGCCTCCATAATCATTTGAGATAATTCCCTTATAAGTCCTCTCCTATCTATCTATCTGACTATCTATTCTAATTGGTTATGTCTCTTTGGAGAACCTTGACTATGCAGCAACTCTGGTATTTGTATGGAGTAGACAGGGTACCCTGGCTGCTCCAGAAACAAACCAGAAGTGGAAACTCCCTGACAGAATTGTGAATCAGGTAATGAAAGAGCCTCTGAGGTTCTTCCAAATGAGAGACTGATGAAATGTTCCAATTAGGAGACTGGATTCCAACAGGGAGGCTGGATTAAATGTTGCTAAGCTAGTCCAAACCCTCTAAAACCATCTCTACAGGATTCCTCTAAAGCAGGGTTTCTCAATCTCACACTGTTGACTTTTGGGGCCAGATCGTTCTTTGCCATGGGGGCCTGTCCTGTGTCCTATGTACTGGCTGTTTAGCAGCATTCCTGCCTCTACTCGAGATGCCAGTAGCAGCTTCCTGCTTCCAGGCATATCAACAAAAATGACTTCAGATGTTGAAAAATGTCCCCAGAGGGACAGAATTGCCTGCTTTGAGAACCACTCATGTAGTGCTTCTGACAGAGGGGATGTAATGCAGGATTTGGGCCTCCCTTGTGTTCTACATGTTCAAAGATTAATGGGAGTTTTCAACCATTAATGTTGAAGGATAATGAAATTGCACAGTTTAAGAAGAGTAGATGGGACCAGCAGTTAGCGTAATGGCTATGTCGCTGGACTGCCATGTAGTTGACCGTGGTTCGCGTCCTGGACCTGGTGGCTTAAAACTCACGCTGGGCGCGTGTGTGTGCATGCCCAAGATCCTGAGAGGAGAATGGAGGAGAAGGGATTGTGGCGTGGCCATCTCCCCTGGGTGGTGATTTCTCGCTTTCTGTCTCTCTGTCTCTCTCTGGTGAGCGCAAGTGCCCTATAGCAAAAACCTCTCCAAAAAAAAAGAGAAGAGTAGAGATGGGCCAGCAGGTGGCGTGGAGGTTAAGGTGCTGGACTTCCACATGGCTGACCATGGTTCAAGTTGTGGACCTGGTGGTTTGCTTGCTCTCCCTCTCTCTCTGGTCAAATTAAAAATAATAATGGGACCACCAGATGGCATAATGGTTATGTGGCTGGACTCCCATGTAGTCAGCCACGGTTCAGTTTCTTGGACATGGGCACTTAAACTCACATTGGGCACGTGTGTGTGCATGCCTGAGATCTTGAGAGGAGAATGGAGAAGGGCCACGGCATGGCCATCGCCATCTCCCCTGGGGGGGTGATTTCTCACTTTCTGTCTCTCTGTCTCTCTCTGACTCTCCAGTGAGTGCATGTGCCCTAAAAAATTAATAAAATTAAATAAATAATTATTATTTTTAAAAGAAGAATAGAGATAGACAGACGGCCCCCAACTTAGCCATGGTTGGACTAAGACTTTTCAACTTTACAATGGGCTTATTAGGATATAACTGCATTGTCAGTTGAGTGTCTATCTGGCCTTACGATGGTTTGATTGAACCATTTTTCTATTTTTCTTTTTGAGAGAGATTTTTGCTAAAGAGTATGTGTGCTCACTGGAGACACAGAGAGAGACAGAGAAACAGAAAGTGAGAAATCACACCAGGGGGATGACCAGAATCTTGGAATTCTGGGCACGCACTCACACATGCCTGACATGAGTTTTAAGCCTCTGGGTCCAGGACTCAAACCATGGTTCTCTATGTGGGAGTCCAGCAATGTAACCATCACACCATCTGCTGGTCCCAGGTGTAACCATTTTTCAATGTTGTAATGGCATTATTGGGACAGAATTCCATCATAGGGTAAAGAGCACCTGGATACTTTATAATGGGCTTATTGGGGTATTAAATGTATTCCTCAGGGCTGGCCCCATGGCCTGGTGGCTCAGGGAGCTGTTCCCACCTGCCTAGTTTGAATCCTGGACCTAGTGGCTTGAAAAACACATGAGATGTGTGTGTGCCCCAAATCCTAGTAGGATAGAGCGATGGAGAAGGGACTGCAGCATGACTGCTCCGTTAGATGGTGCTTTCTCCTTGTCTCTCTCCCTGCTTCTCTGTGTCTGGCAAGCACACATACCTTCTGGCAATTAAAAAAAAAGGTATTTTCACTTGTGATATTTTCAATGTATACTGACTTTATCAGATCATAGCCCTATCATCCAGTTGAGGAGCATCTGCACCAAACTACTTAAATATTTGGTGTTATCTGAGTGATGTGCTGAGCAAATGTGATTATTAGAATATAATTAACTGGGGCCAGTGGGTGGTATGGTGGTTAAGGTGCTGAATTCTCACAAGGCCAACCACAGTTTGAGTCCTGGACCCAGCAGCTTGAAACTCACACTGGGTGTATATGTGTGCATGCCTAGAATCCCAGGAGAATGGAGGAGAAAGGATTGTGGCATGGCCATTCTCTAGAGAGGTGTGATTTCTTTCTTTCCCTCTCACTGTCTCTCTCTCTTCAGCAAGTACATTTGCCCTATGACAAAAACCTTTGAAAAAAGGATATAATTAACTGTGAGAATACAATTTTTATTTCAATCTGAATATGTATATTTGGGTTCACAGCTCCCAAGCACATGTCTTGTTTAAGTGTTTGTATCAAGAACCTGTGAACAGGGAGACAAGCAGTTAGCGTAATGGCTAGGTTGCTGGACTCCCATGTAGTCGACCGCAGTTCACATCTCGGACCCGGTGGCTTAAAACTCACGCTGGGTGCGTGTGCGTGCATGCCCAAGATCCCAAGAGGAGAATGGAGGAGAAGGGATTGCGGCATGGCCATCCCCCCTGGGGGATGATTTCTCACTTTCTTTCTCTCTGTCTCTGTCTGTCTGGCAAGCGCACGTGCCCTATAGCAAAAACCTCTCCAAAAAAAAAGAACCTGTCAACAGATAAAACCAACTAGTGGTAAATGAAGAAGTGTACACAGTGAACCACGGGTATAGATTTGTGAGTTTATCAAAACTGGATGAAAACCCCAAAGGAGTAGGTTTAGACTGAGAGCAGATGGCCCAGGACCATGCCTTGGGAATGGTAGCAATACCTGTATATATGAGGTGGTTGGAAAAGTCATGACATACTTTTCTGCTTTTCTTTTTTTTTTTTTTTTAAGAGAGATCTTTGCTATAGGGCAGGCACACTTCCTGGGGCGACAGAGAGACAGAAACTGAGAAATCACCCCCGAGAGGGAATGGCCGCACTGCAATCCCTTCTCCTCGCAGTATTTTGGGCATGCATGCATTCATTTACATGTCACATAAGGTTTCTCACCCTGCAACAGTGACGTCTAGTAGTTATTATATAGGGGTTGTCTCTAAAAAGTTCATATTACGAAAAACCTGTGGATGGATTTCAAAATTTTTTCACGCCAAATTAAACTTGTACTTTAATTCCATCCCCCCCCCCAAACCTTTTGAAGTCAATTTGTATTGAGTCATTGAGGTAGAGCCTGTCTAGCCTGCAAAGCCTACACTAGGTACCAGCAAGCTCTTCGCAGAAAAAGTTTGCCTTTCCCAATTTGTCATTGCCTTTAAACGTAAGTAAAAAAAAGAGGCCAGTTTTAATATATGCAAGATCCTGCATTTGTAAATGACCACCACCCACACCCTAAGATCCTAAACTCTTCAAAACCCCTTCATGTAACTGGCTCTGTGTATTGAGCTGGGCTTCCGTTTGATTTCAGCATCATGGGGTAGGCCCCTATGATCCTGTCCCAACAGCTCTCCCACTGCATTCCTCATTCCTCCTCCTTCCGCCAACTTCTTGCTTGAGTGTGCCAAACACACCCACATCAGGGCCTTTTCACTGAGCAGCTCCCTGTGTTTGGAACTCTTTTCCTGTGGTTTGTTTCCTCTCTTCCTTCTGGTTTCTGCTCAGAGTTCTCTTATAGGGGCTTCTGGGGCCCTTACCATATTCTGTTTCTTCTCTCTGTTTTTTATATATATATATATATATACACACACACATATATATGTATATATATATATATATATATATAACTTAAAGAGAGACATACAGAGAAAGAAAGCCCCCTGTTCCTATTCTCTTTTTTTCTTTAAGTTTTTTGTTGTTGTTGTTGGTTTTTCTTCAATGTAGGGCTTGTGTGTTTATCAGAGAGACAGAGGGGAAGTGAGAAGTGACCCTCCAGGGGGAGGGCCACACCACAGTCTCTTCTCCAGTCTCCTCTTGGAATTTTGGGCATGCATGCACATGTGCTCAGTGTACTTTTCAAGCTGTGGGGTCCAGACTTGAACTACAAAGTTGGCCATGTGGAATCTAGTCCTCTGACCTCCGCACTGCCTGCTGGCCTCAGTATTGTTTCTTGAGCTGGGTGCTGTTCATACAGGTTTAGGGAGTTTGTGGAAATTCATGTATTGTTACCCTTAGGATTTGTGCATTTTGCTGTATGTATGCTGTGCTTAAAAAGATTTTCTTTTTTTTTTTTACTCATTTGGAAGATTTTAAAAGGATGATATGGGGGACATCAAAAACTTTGTGGAAAAATTACTTGACTTGGAACCCTTTGGGTTGTACAGGGGTTTAAAGCTCTACTGAGGACCCGATTTATAGTCTTTACCCATGAATATCAGTTTGTCTGAATCAATTAGGGGTGTGCCTGTGAGTAGTTTTCCAATTAAGTTTTCTAATCTCTATGGCATTGAAGGTGTGGCTTTGTTGCCATCTTGTGGCCAGCAGTGGTATTACAATGAGGCTCAGAGGGTGTTTGAAGGTCCCTGAATCTAAATCTTTTTAAAAAAGACATTTAATTAATTAATAATTAATAATTTATTATTATTATTATTATTATTTTGACCAGAAAGATACAGAGACAGATAGAGAGAGAGAGAGAGAGAACGAAATTGTGAAGGCAAATCACCAGTTCTAGAACTCAAACTGCTGTCCAGCCATATGGGAGTCCAGCACCTTAACCGCTACACCACCCACCGGCCCGAATCCACATCTTCTAATTGTCAAGTCTCTTGTTCACTCAGAAGTCTTCTGGGCCTTATTTAACCACCACTCCTGACAGAAGGTTCACTGCTCAACCAGTGATACACATCCATCATTTGATCTTTCTCTGTGTATAAATTAGTTTTTTTAATTTCGAGAGGATGCAGGCACTCTCCAGAGGGAGGGAGAGAGAGAGAGGAGAAATCACCCTGTGATGGGGCATGGTCATGCTGCTCCATTTCTCCATCCTGGGCATGCATGCACACGTGCCTGGTGTATTCTTCAAGCTTCTGGGGTCAGGATTTGAACTGCAGTTGGCTTTGTGGGATCTGGCTTTCCATGCACGGTGCTTAACCATTGTAGTATGGGGCTGGCCCAGTACTGTGGTCTTCATGCCTGTTAGAATCCCCTGAAGGCAAGGCTGGGCAAGACCCCTCCCAGGTCTGTTCCGAAGCTGGCGCATGTAGGCTCTGTTCCCCTACCTGGCCCTGAGCTGTGGCCTGCAGACATTTTCTCATCCTTAGTCCCCCTGCTGTTGTCTGGACACATTTAAACCATATCTGTGGGTGCTCATGTTTTCTGTTACTATCTGAAGGGGACATATTCAAGACCCCCAACGATGCCCAAAATCATGAATAGTGGGACCAGCAGATGACGTAATGGTTACATCACTGGACTCCCACATAGTCAGCTGCGATTAAGTCCTGGACCTGATGACTTAAAACTCACACTGTGTGTGTGTGTGTGCGTGCCCCAAGATCCCGAGAGGAGAGGGGAGGAGGAGGGATTGTGGCATGGCCATCCCCCTAGGGGGTGAGTTTTCACTTTTTGTCTCTTTGTCTCTCCGGTGAGTTCATGTGCCTCATAGCAAAAATCTCTCTTAAACAAATTTTAAAAAACCCAAAACATGGATAGTACTGAATCCTATATTTTATGTTTTTCTCATTCTGATTACAGGGCTTCTAAGTGACCAACAGGCAGGTGGTGTGTACCGTGGGGGGATGCCCCAGACGAGAGGAAATTCACGTTCTGAGCAGGGCAGAGTGGGACTGCAAGAGATTTCGTCACACTTCTCCAAACAGTGAGCAATTTAAAACTTAATTAATTGTTTATTTCTGGAAGTTTCCACTTAATATCTTGGACTGCAGTTATCAAGGGTAACTAAAACCTCAGAAATACTACCGACAGGGGAGACTATCATACAGTGCTTATTCTGGTGGCCAAAGCTGCATCAAGTGTTAGTCCTCTGATGTCACAGGGCAGAAGCAGAGCAGAACCACAACATCCTGGGGACAAGAACCCACCTCCTAGGAGAGGGAGGGGATCTCTCTTATGTACTTTTTAGGCACTTTGCATGGCCCAGGCACAGTGGGCAGGCCCAGGCATGCTATCCTGTCCCAGGACAGTAGTCCTCAGATGCTGGTGAGTGCTGTTCAGATGTGTGGCTCTGTCTCAGACTGCTTCACTGTGTGGGCAGGGCCTGGGCTCTACGAGTATTGCAGGATGGCTTCTGGTGTTTTGGACAAAGAATTGAATGAAACATACAAATAGTGTAAGGAAAAGGTAGTTTATTAAGTAAAAGCAAAAGTACACTCCTGAGAGGTAGGAGAGGGCCTGAGCAGACAGAGAAGGAATGGCTCAAATGGGACCTGGCAGTTGCATTCTGTGGGATTTGTAATTTTTTTTTTTTTTTTTTGGAGAGGTTTTTGCTATAGGGTGCATGCGTTCGCTAGAAAGACAGAGAGAGACAGAGAGACAGAAAGCAAGAAATCACCCCCAAGGGGGGATGGCCACGCTGCAATCCCTTCTCCTCCATTCTCCTCTTGGGATCTTGGGCGTGCACATACATGTGCCTGGCGTGAGTTTAAGCCACCAAGTGTGGGACTCGAACTGCGATCGATTACATGGGAGTCCAACGACATAACCATTACGCTAACTGCTGGTCCTGGATTTGTAATTTTTAGCCTGTGTTGTGTAGGTTGATCATTGTCTGGGGCAATTGATTGCTCTCATCTCATTGGCTCTATCAAATGTTGCTTAATCAGCTAGACATCCTCCCACTGATCTCTCGCCTACATTACCTTAGGTGGGGAATTTTCTGCCTTGATTGATTTTTTTCTGTCTAGCTACGTGGCAGGTGCTCTAGCCCCCTTACCTGCTTCCATTTGCTAGCTTTCTCCTGCCTCACAAGCTTAACATCCTTCTGCATGACTGTGACGTAGATAGCAGAAAAGCCAGAACTGGGGCCAGCTGGTGGTGTGGAGGTTAAGTCAGCTGGATCCCACATGGCGACTGTGAAGTTCGCATCCTGACTTCAGCAGTTTGAAAACATCCTGAAAGGAGAAACAGAAGGACTGTGGTATGATCATCGCCTATGGGGGTGCTTTCTCACTTTCACTGTCTGTCTCCAGCAAGCACACATGCCTTCTGGCAAATAAAAAAAAAAAAAAGAAAGAAAGAAAGAAAGAAAGAAAAGGCAGAACAGGGGTGGCCCCAAGCAGTGGTTAAGTGCTGTGTGGAGGCAGCCGGATACATATGACCTGGTCCTGGTGGCTTGAAAAACATGTTGGTTGTGTGTGTGTCCCAAATCCTGATGGGATAAAGGAACGGAGGAAAAAAGGATCACATAGTGATCACCCCATGGAGGGGGTCGCAGTCTCTCTCCTCCTCTGTCTCTCTCTCCATTTCTGTCTCGAGTGCATGTGCCCTCTGGTACATTAAAAAAAAAAAAGATAAGGCCGGTGCCTTGGCACAGTGGCAGTGTACTCAAGAGAAGCCAGAACCCACATGGGGATTGTGGTTCCAGTCACCCTCCCTCATCAGACGTGCACTTGAGTGCCCAAGAGCCAGTGGGTGGGAGGACCGGAGAAAGGGGATTACCGTGTGATCAGACCCTGTGTAGGTGCTCCCCTTCCTCTCTCTTCCTCCTGTGTGTTTACACCTTACCATGAATTAAAAAAAGAAAACAAAAACAAATCATGACAAAAATTAAAGATGATTAAAAAGAAAAACAACTTAAGAAGCTCATCAAGTGTTTGGGACCATGTTTTTGTCCCCAGAGAGCCTTAATCAAGCTTCTTTCAGCCTGCTCCAGGACAAATGCCTGAACCTCCTACTCATCTGAACAAAAATAAAAACAGGGACCTCCAGGCCTGAAGGGGGCACTGTCCCCTGCAATGTCTCTCTTCCACCTACAGCAACTCATGCGCCACCAGCCACTAGCAGAACCCATCCACTCTGTGGCACAGGCACACTGTGGTGAAGAGGGTTGACAGTGTATCTCTGGAGCTACACTGCTTGGGTCCAGTTCTGTCATCTGCTAGTTGTGTAACCTCAGAAAATTTTCTTAACCTCTCTGTGCCTCAGTTTATCTGTAAAATGGAGAAAGGAATAGTACTATCTGAAAGAGTTGTGTGAACAGCTTAAAAAGTGGGACCAGCAGATGGCATAATGGCTACATCGCTGGATTCCCATATAATCAACTGCATTTCAAGTCCTGGACCTGGTTGCTTAAACTCATGCCAGGCGTGTGTGCGTGTGTACCCAAGATCCCGAGAGGAGAATGGAGGAGAAGGGATTGCAGTGTGGCCATCTCCCCTGGGGGGTGATTTTTCGCTTTTTGTCTTTCTGTCTCTCTCTGTCTTTCTGGCGAGTGCAAGCACCCTATAGCAAAAACCTCTCAAAAAAAAAAAAAAAAAGAAAGGCTTAAAAATTATCATGTTATAAAGCATTTAGAACAACAGCTCACAAATCATTGGCATAAAATAAGTATTGGCTTATTTAAAAGGGCAATTCATTATTATTTAATGAATGCAGATTTCATCCATGTCATGGTGTTTCATTTGGTCCCCAGTTTTGCCATGGAGATCATTTTTATGGACTTGCTACAAACTAGAAACTCTCAATTCTCCATCATTTATTTATTTAAAGTTTATTAATTTCTTTGATGAGAGAGAGGGAGATGATAGACAGGCACCCTCAGTAGGGTCCCCATGCTCAACAGTCCAGATAGATCCTGGCATGTGTGTACAGGCAGGCCCTGGGACTCAATTCAGACCTTCTGCATGGGTCTAGCTGCACCACCATCTGGCCCTCCTCTCTTATGGCAGGTCCATTCTGGGAGCAACTTCTGGTCTCATTCCAGCTGTCTTTATAAACAGGGGATTTCCAGGGAATGGCAACATGGAAGGAGGGAGTAGGGGCCAGAGCAGAATGAGCTATGAGACCGGGCCTCAGCCTGAGTCTGGAATACTTCTCTCTGCGGCCAAGAAGACAAGCTCAAATCCTCTCTCCCAGGAACCCCTCTTGAATACTCTGGTCTTTGCTCATCCTGGTTGGGGTTCTGCTTGCTTAACCTCCATGAGCCCCTTAGTCTCTATTGCTGAAAAACAAGGATGGTGCAAGCTCCCAGGGCTAGGGTAGGGATCAGGTGAGATAGAGTGGGGTGCTCTTTGCATGCATCTTGATTTGGGCTCCTCCAGAAGCAGGACCTGAAATAAGATTCAAGAGCTAGAGATTTTTCTGGGAGATAATCCCAGAAAACACCAGTAGGTGAGGATATGGGACAGGGAACTGAAGGAAGTCAGTTAATGTATTATTGAGACCAAAAGCACCAGAGACAATTGGTGCTTAATGCCCCAGTTGTGGGAGACAATGCAGAATGCCCCTTAGACTCAGGGAAGAGACTGTCTTTTCCCAACCAAGAGGGGAGACAGCTGAGGTATTTATACATCAACTGCTCAGCTGTCATTAAGGGTTGCTTCCAGGAGCAGGCAGTGGCTGTATGTTCTCCCACAACCAGATATCATGCTCTTGGGCAGGGAGGCAGGTATTCCTGGCAAGCTGACTATGGCTTGTGCAGGGGAGTGCTGGAAGGACAGCACAGACAGCATTTGGTTCAAGGGTGTCAATTCACCTCTCCTGGCAATTCCATCTTCATGGCATTTTCCCCTGATAAGAATGTATTCCCTCTTGGGAAGTGACCTGGGCTACCTTTGTTATGTAGTACACGCCAGCTCGCACCCCTAGTCATCTTTACTGCCTTTACCAGCTTCTTCTTAGCATGCCATCCTGCCAGCATGCCAAGGCTGTCACTCTGCTCTTCCTATAGAGAGCGATTGATTTATTGATCTATTTATTTATTTATAGGTTTTTGCTATAGGGTGTGTGTGCTTGCCAAAGAAGGACAGATAGAGATAGAGAATGAGAAGGTGAGAAGTCATCCACCAGAGGGACAATCATGCTGGAATCCCTTCTTCTCCATTCTTCTCTTGGAATTCTGGGCATGCACAGATATGTGCCTGGCGTGATTTTCAAGTCTGGGGCTTGAATTGCGATCATCCACGTGGGAGCTCAGCACTTTAACCACTGTGCCACCTGCTGTCCCCTCCCACAGGATTGTTTTTGATTTTTCTTAAAGAATTATTTAATTTTATTCATTATTACTATTAATTCACCATAGACAGAGAGGGAAAATGAGAAGACAAGCCACCAGGTCCAGTACTTGAGCCATGGTTGGCCATGTGGGAGTCCAGTGTCTTAACCACTATGTGGGAGTCCAGTGTCTTAACTACTATACTACCTGCTGACCCCCTCCCATGGAGTTTTTTTTTTTTTTGAGAAGTTTTTGTTATAGGGCACATGCTCTCGCCAGAGAGACAGAGACATAGAGACACAAGAAATCACCCCCCCAGGGGGGATGGCCGTGCTGCAATGTCCTTCATTCTCTTCTCAGGATCTTGGGTACACATGCACACATGCCTGGTGTGAATTTAAGCCACTGGGTCCAGGACCTGAAACAGGGTCGACTACATGGGAGTCCAGCGACCTAGACATTATGCCAACTGCTGGTCCCTCCTATAGAATTTTAATACAATCAACAGAAGACAATTACATTGGCCTCAGATTTTAGATTAACACATGATTAATCAACCTGTAAACCATGCGAAAGTTATTTTTAAAAAAAGAGTGAGAGGGAGACATGGCCTCCCTAATGGAGTGTTAATGCTGTGATCCACTCAAGTCTTCAACCAGCCCTAGAGCACAGGCGACCATGTGCCTGGCAAACTCAAGGAGGTTTCT